ACTTGAGACTTGACTTGAGACTTGAGGATAAAGACTTGAGACTTACTTGAGACTTGCAAAACAATGACTTGGTCCCACCTCTGCATCAAATATCTGTATAACTAATAAAAAAAAAAGTCCCTAATGAGGCTATCAGCAGTAATTATATATTTATTTGCCACACTGTGTGTGTAATCAATATTTTTCAGTTTAATTAGTGTGATTAATAATGCCACTGATGTGCTTTTCCCTGCTATCTGTGCTGTCTGCCATTTTCACCGTGTGAGTTTCTTCTTCACTGTAGCTTTGACTTTACCCTCAGTTGATTAATAAGTATCACCACAAGCAGGCATGAGGCACTGGTCAGTGTTTCAGAGCACTGCATGTTTTCATTAAAATTTTGTAATTTGGTACCAGAACACTGATAACATGAAAGCATTATTGCAAGAGGAAGAAATGTGCAATACTAACATGTGAATCTTAATATTTCAACCTTCATTTAGGGTGTTAACTCTTGAGATGATTTCTTTCATGACATACTAAATAGGGTCAGTGGTAGGAGAAAATGGAGGCCCTGTAGAAAGCCTGCACAAGAACAGGGAGATGATACAAACACTGTACGAAAGAGTGTTGCCTGGATTTGAACCCCTCTTGTTGTGACAGTGCTAATAGCTCAGTCACTATGCTGCCAAACACACTGTGTTATATTATGTTATATTTGTGTTTATGGAGTCTTACCCAGTGCCTTGACTGCTATCTGCCTTGTCATGGATGGTGGAATATAGATGCAGACAAGGTCAACATCTTGATGCAGCAGGACGTCGTCAGATCGGCTGGTGTGAAACGGGATGCCGAGCTCCTTTGCCAAGCAGCATGCTTCCTCTTCGCTTCGCCCCCAGAGTGCATGAACCTCAAAGCCTTCAGCTTTTAGCAGTGGGACCAGCACTCGGGCCGTACTCCCCGTGCCAAACACACCGACTCCCGGCAGCATGGTAGAGCTGCCCAGTGGGACCCTATGTGTGAACCATCGCCAGTCACTCCAGCATCTCAACAGCAAATCATCCACTAGCTTTTCAAGGCCTGTGCTGTTGATTTTAGCCTAGAAAACAATTAACAATTGAACAGTTAAAGAGCGATCAATCTTTATCCAATAACATAACAAAATCCTGGGAAATAAAAAAGCTCTTTGTGAATGCAGCACTAAGAAATGAGAAGGAGTAGTGAATAAGTGCTTTACCCATTTATCCCAGCTTTGACTGTATCTGCAGGTCTCATGAAAGTTCAGCCCAGTTTTTCTTATCAGACCTCTGTGACAGGCTCTCATGCCGTGTCCTGCCACATACTTAACATGCCTTTCCTTGTTCACACCCACTGAATGTCAATGTCATCTTTTGTCTTTCAACCAGGCTAAACATAAAAACCAGCAGCCAGAACAATCTAATTATTTATCGCTCACTTAATGTTGTTCTGAAAGTTATAAATCACCTGAACCAGTATGAGTTTACTCCCTTGTTTTCCTGATCTGGAATGATAATAGACTGGTGACTGATTTAAATAGCAGGCCATATCTACATTAAATACATATGCATAAAAATCAACTAAGCTGTAAAAACATACACAAAAACACAAAAAAACATATCCTTTTAATTCAGAGGTTTTCCAAAAACTTTATAATTCAAAGTAAAAAGTGAAATTGATTTATAAATATTAAATGAACTAAATGTACTACTACAAAGACTACAGTCTTTGGGGACTGAATGTGGACTCTTAGGGAGAAGTAAGGGGGGGGAAAGGAAAGGAATATGCTGAGAGGAGAAACAGGAGAACAGCAGCTTTGGCTCAGGTATGAACTTCTCTCAAGCCATAAATTGCTGTACCTATTTTCCGTTTTCCTCGCAAAATATAAAGAAATGCGGGGTGTGTCCATATTTAGCACAGTGCTATATAGGTGAACAATGAGCAGGTCTATCTTGCTGACTCTCCCTGTGGCCATGATGACTGTACAACAGAAGGGTGACGGAGGAAAGTCTGCGTGCCCCTGCACCTGCATTACCTGTGCCACCTTTGGGAACCTTCTCTCGTTTAAACCGCATCCGCGCCAGGCTAAAGCAGCCGAATGCAGCTGAAGTCTCTCACACACCGACAACACTGGCAACTGAGCCGTGCCGTGCCGTGCCGAGTCAGCTAGACAGATGAGATATCAAAGGCATGACACACGGACTCGTCGCTTTCTGAATCAGAAGTAGTAGCTCGGGATCAGACATATGTCATAAAACACTGCAAACTTCCTCAAAGTGACCACGTCTTCGTTTCAAACACGCGTACTGCTACAAGTGCACACACACCTACACACACAGTGAGCTAGCTAAACAGTCAGGTTATTGATAACGTTAGCTAGCACGTTCAGCTAGCTGGCCAGACAACCGCAGAGCGTGCACAAAAAACTCCCAGTAAACGCAGATACTTCTCGGGCTCACTGTTTAGTGTTAAAGTATCTACAAACGGGTATTATTTAAAACAAATCCCAAGTGAAACGCAAGGAAACGTTAACTACCTACTGTATTTGGCAGCACAACATCAGCGACGTCGGAAGGTGACGAGCCGGGCGCTGCCCAGTTGCTAATGGTAACTTCAGCAGCAACAGCAATACTGTGACGGGAACCGGACATACTAAAGCTGTGAAGATAGGTCACCGGCGGAAAATCAACACGGGGGACTCATAGGAAACACGTTATGTTTAAACACAAAGATACTAAAAGTTTCACAAAACCTTGCTTTTAAAGATATTTTTTATTAATGTATAAATACGTCTTACGAATAAAATATGTGCCCTTGCTGTTAAGGCATTACATTAACTTTCAATAGTTTCCCCATGATTCAGTGCGCTACCTGTACAAATCCCTCAGTACGTCGACTAGTTTCACTCGTTTAATCTAAAAATTTTCAATTCAGTTTTATGTAAATCGCAACAACAGTTGCCTCTAAGCTTCTTCCAAGTGGGCAGTCGTCTACCCCAAAGCAGTTATCTCACTTGTTATTTTTAACCATTACCAAAACTCAAGGCGTAGCTACCACTCCAATCTAAATATATCCACAAAATAATTTGCTTGCTTTGAGACGAAATTAAGGTTTAAAACGGTTAAAAACTCTCTTAAAACTCTCTGAAAGTTATAGCCTAATTCTACCACGTTTGCTATTGCAGTGTTTTCCCTTGTATTTCAGTTACTTTAGTGACATCCCTCTCATATAATGTCTCCGGTTAAATGTATTTTGATAATTTATTCTGGTTAATTTTATTTGACAGTATTAGTTACAATTGCACAGATTTCACAGAAACAAACTCAAATATATATTCAATATTTGTTTGTGGAGAATCAATAGTGATTTTTGTTTGTTTTTGAATGGAGGGCCAGTAACATATGTTTCAAATAACCAGATAAGTGCCCTGATGCAAGTATAATAGCAGGACCTTACTTACTGCAACGCAGATACCATTTTAAATGTATCTTTTTTCCCTGATAAGAACCCATTGTTAACTCTTAGTTCATCTGTTGGCACCATGAGCAACACACTAGACTTTAAACTTGTAGAGGTGTGTGTGAGCGCTCATGTTTAATGCTGCTGTTGGCAGGGGTGACTTTGGTTTACATTCTTTTGCCTCAGCCTTTTCAAATACAATTTATTTTTAAAAATGCTTTTAAACTTTGGTGTTTACTTTGTGAAATGATCTTAGATGAATACGGTATGAGGTTTATTTGGCTACTACAGATTTACAGTGTGTAAATAATAAACTAAATCTGCAGAAATAGCTGTGTGATGATGATCAGAAAAGTGACACCTGCAGCGTCCAAATCCACAACCATCCAGCCAACCACTAAACCAGCCAAACACTAAACCAGCACAGGAGTGCAGGAAGAGTGATCTACAAGGCCATCAGGTGGATGATAATGGTTACTACCACCTGGACAGTGTGGCAGCTGACATGGAAAGATGAACAAACAATCCAAGGAAACAGACTGAAAATCAGTCTAACTTTAAATTAGTGAAAAATACCTGTTGATACCTTTTTTGAAATTCTCATAAAATACACACATGATATATCACCATGAGTAAAGTAAAGTAAAACACATCTGGATCACAAATCATCCAACATTCAATATTGTTCACTGATTTCACCATATTTGCATTACAGTGCAGAGGTTTGGGGCAATACTCATAAATGTTTGCTATCATCAATCTAGGTCCATAAGGATAATCCATAAAACTGGCTACAGAGATCATACAAATCCGCTATTCTTAAAATCAAAAATACCAAAATTCACAGACCTGGTTCATTTTCTCACAGTACAAATTATGTATAAAGTAATAAACAACCTACTTCCTGACAGTATTCTCAAATTGTTTTCTAAAAGGAAACAGGGATACAATTTGAAGGGGGAATTAAATTTAAAACATCCTTGTATCCGTATAACATGACAACGTTTTTGCATCTCTGTGTGTGGAGGGAGGCTGTGGAATAGAGTGAAGAACTGAAGCAATGTCCCAGCATGACTCAGTTCAAAATTGTAGTTTTTGCAAAGTAAAGGAAGGAGGTAGGGCTCTGATCGGGTGTTCTCACCCACTATTTTCACAACAGTGATGTGTATATATGTGTAGGTGCACAAGTATGTTTATATAAGTATATATTTAAAGTATAAATGTAAAAATATAAAAATAAATAAAAAACACATGTAACATGTAATGTAATTGTAATGAAGAATTTCTGATGGACAGGGAAACAGGAAGAAAAAGTGTAGACTATTAATTACTAAATAGTGGAAAGGGGGTGGGATTAAATAAGATTATGCTTCTTCCTTTTTGAACATGTTATGAGTTATTTATAATTATTGTTTTTTGTTTTCCTTTTGTTTTGCTGTGTTTGTTTGTTTGTCTCTTTTTTCTGTTGTTGTACTAATTTAACATGTTCAAAATTAAGATACAATACAATACACCTTCTGTGGATGCTTATTAGATGTAAGTTGATTAGATATTTATACTGGTGGGGATGCACTGTTGCTATTATTAACGGTGATTTCACCCCAAAATATGACATTTACTGATGACAATGGCTGATTGTGTGATTAAGGGGGATAAAAGTTATAGGGTGAGACAGAGGCCTATGATTTGCTATAGCAACACCTAAAAGGGCAAGCCAAAAGAAAAAGCAGGATATTAAATTATTAGACTTGAATTTCATAAATTTGCTCCATCTAAAAAGTTGTTTATTCTCCATGGTTATTTCTGATTGCACATATGTATTAATCAAATTTTACAGTATTGTTATTCTGTATCTGAAGTTTTCCCCCAATTAGACTTAGGTTGCTTTAATCAGTTAATCATCAGCTGTAACTGAAAACACCTTAGTTTGTGATTCTAAAAATTATTTTCCTTTGAGAAGAAAATAGAAGTCTGTCTGCATCTATATAAAAATATAATTGTTTTACATTAAAATACAGCGTTTGTTTTAAAAAGATCAATAATTAATTAAGTTCTTTTGGGGTTTTTTAAACACGTTGATAGTATTTTCTTTACACACACGCTTACTTGAACGGTGTCATTACACACACTGACCAGCAGAGGCGTTATATCACTAACGGTTATGGACAGGAAGCGCAAGGAATTGTGGGACTTTTAGTTCTCAGTGGTGGACGATTACCCTGATAACAGAGCTAAGAACAAGAAAAAACATTTACCGTTGAAAATAAAACAGCATCCGTGAATTCATCATATGCAAGAGCTTCGTGTGCTCCGCGGCCGGCTAATCTCGGATGGATTTAGTCGTCGTACGAAGGAGAGCGCCTCACTTTTGCTAAAAAATAAACAGGAAGTTGTTAGCGTTGTGGGACGTGTAGTTCCGCTTGCAGGCCGCCGATCTTGATAACATAGCATAGAATAAAGAAACAAAAATAAAATAATCTTAAGTTCACCCGAAGGCCGCAGATTTAGCCTCGGCGCTGAAGTAAATATGCCTGGGTTCACCTGCTGTGTCCCCGGCTGCTACAACAACTCGCACCGGGACCGGGAACTGCGCTTCTACACGTTTCCTAAGGACACCGCTCTCAGAGAGCAGTGGCTGAGGAACATCTCCCGGGCCGGGGTCAGCGGCTGCTTCAGCACCTTCCAGCCGACTACGGGGCATCGAGTCTGCAGCGTGCATTTCGCCGGCGGGAGGAAAACCTACAGCATCCGGGTGCCGTCCCTCTTCCCTCTGCGAGGGGTGAATGAGCGCAGGAGTCGGCGGGGCAGAGGCAGGAAAGTATCCGCGGCGGTTCCCGCGCCCGCCGCAGCTGCGACCTCCGGAATTGTTGTCACCAGCTCCGTGCTGGGCAGCACCGCAGAAGGAGCCGAGGCCAACGCAGGCGGGGAAGCGAGCGACGACAGCATCACCGTGGTGCAGATTGGCCAAAACGGGGAGTACTTGGGCACCGCGCGACTGCCCGTCCAAACGGAGGGGACATCTTACACGGGGCAGGTCGGCGGTACAGCCGAGGTAACGGCTGGCGACTCACAGGTGGACACCTCATCCGCGGCGGCACCCGTGCAGTATGTCAGCGTGACCAGCAGCCCGCTGGACCACTCGTACTCTCTGACCACTGGCACCACGTCGGCCGAGCTACTGAGGAAGCTGAACGAGCAGCGGGACATCATCGCGCTCATGGAGGTAAAGATGAAGGAGATGAAGGCGACCATCCGCCAGCTCCGGGTGGCGGAGGCCAAGCTGCAAGAGGAAGTGCGGGAACGGGACCGGTTGCTGTACGGCCACACGGTGGCTGCTAACGTTCGGAAGAAAATCTGATGGGATGGGTGAACATCCCCGGAGACGAGCCGATATACAGACTCAGACTGACGGAGAGCAGATGGACAGCAGATCCAGCCCCGATTTCTACGAAACTGAGAGCGATGACAATTTATTTTCAAGTAGAGCTTATTTTTTATTTTTATTTGCGTTTAAATTTTTTTGTAGGCTGGCTAGTTGATGTAGCTGATAGTAATAAACTTACTGCTAATCTAATTGAAACATGCACAGTCTGCCTCTGGTCTGCAGCCAAACCAAGATCACATGAATCCATTCAGACAAGACTCGTAGTTTGCGCAGACTCACATTTCAGACTTATTTATGACGGGACAGACTGAGGGGACACCGGCGAAGGACATGCTCAAAACTGCCTAGCTGCATAAAATGTTTTTTGTCCTTAGGCTGTTTTTGTTTTGTTTTTCCAACAGAGTTTAGGAGCTCTTGTTGCAAAAAAAAAAGAAAAAAAAAAAAGGATAACACCCCACAATAACATGCAAAAATGCGCCAAGATGAAGTATTTATAGGATTTTTTTTTTAACCAAAACACTAATCTTGGCCTGCTTAGGGTTGTAGTGAACTAAATAAAACTCTACCGTGACTGTTTCAGAGTTGCCTTTAAAGGTACCTTAAGATTATTTCCATTATTTTTGTTGCTGGAGGTATTTTTGCAACTGAGAAGAAGAAAAAAAGACGAAGAAATTCCTCAAAGCTTTAAAGGGCACTTAAAATTAATTCTTATTAAAGGATGCTTCTTGCGGACGTTTTTTCCCTAGTTTTGGGGGAAGCAGCACCTACTTCTTTTTCATTTTTTGGGTGTGATTTAAACATTTTACGTGCCTCTTCCCTATTCTTCACACAGATGTTTAGTTCCCACATATTTGTCCTGTTCATCAGTGTTTTAAGCACAGGCTATTACAAACATTTCATATTTTTGAAGCTGATCTGGCAGCTCATTGTTTAAGACTGGCAAGTTATTTCTCAAGCCAACAAGCATTTTGTCTCATAGCAGCATTTTAGAGACTTCTGGTGGGGGGAAAAGGATCTGACAGTGTTTCTGTTGTTTTCTTTTTAAACCTTCATTGATATTGGGGGGGTGGAGGGGTTTGGCTCATGTGATCTCATCCCCGGACTGCGGTGAGGGGTTTATTTTAAAATGACATGAAGATTTGCAGTGGCTCTTGTAAGTAATATTACAAATTTTTTCAGCTGTGTTGAGTTGTGGACAAAATAATACAATTTGTATGAAATAAACTTATAAAAGACTCGTGTTGGAAACCTTACAGTTTACGATCGTCGCGTAAAGTGCAGTGATCTTAAAATTATTCACACCCAAAATTTAATTGGATTTGAATTTTCCCCCGAGTGGGTGACAGGTCTGGTCTGCCAGTTTACATCATCATCATCATTGTTTAGCACTAGTGGTGCCTTCACAGATGCACAGGATAGATAATCTGTGCAGATTAATAGCTCTGCATCATAGAGATGCTGACTTTGGGTCTACAAATCTCTCTTTAGCTCACAGGATGCATAGTATTACTTCTATCAGGAAGTTAAAATTTTGAGGGGTCAGAAAACAGCTTTATATTTTACGTCATTGTCCAGGCTGGATTTCAAGAACATATTAAGAGTTTTTGGATCTTCTTTGTGTGTTTTCCTTTCTTTTCATGTCAGAGTTTTAACTTGCTTTTGTGGCTCTGTTTATAAACCCGTGCTCTGACTGTTGTTTGAATCCAGCACCACCTGAAAACCTGAATGTGATGGCCATCTTTGGCCTGGTGAAATCATCTTTCTAATTACACTGTATGTTAAATTCTATTTCTAAATGTCTGAGAAGCTGTTTTTACCAACTTAGCTAAAGTGAGTGAGAAGTGTTTTTGGCCCCACAGTATTTTGTTGCTCTTCCCCAAAGTTTTACACAGTTTTTTGCTGGCATTACATTCAAAATAACAGAGATAGGACTTTATTTAAAAAATAAATCACGAAGCTGAAATGCACGAAACTGAAATTTCTAATATAATATTGCACAAAGAAAACAAATGAAATGTTTTCTCGCTTAAATGTAATGAGTGCCTTCTGTTTACGGCTTACACTGAAACTGGGTTGTATAATGTCAGAACAAAAGATGAATTTTTTATATATCTCTCTCTTTGCTAGTGTAAATAACAAGCCTAAACGGATTAAAGAACCAACTCACCAAAGAGAAATCACTCCTCAAAAAATGATCTCTAGTCGTATTTTGCTTCAGATTTACTAAATTGTTAAATTAAGACCCAATTTGTCAATAAATGAGGATAATTACTAGAAAATAGTGGATTCAATTACACGTTCTGACTTCTTGCTTTAATGCAAATGTGATTTCATTTTTAAAACAGCAAAGTGTCATATTTTAGGTGACTGAAGGTCAAAGAAACTGGTTCGTCATCTTGTCCAGTCCAGAGTTTCAGGACAGGAATAATCATCCTTACAGTCGGAGTCTGAAGCATGATTTTTACCCTCTAGATGGCGCTAGGATAAAAGCTTGAAGAAGAGAAGCTTCAGCTCCTCTCTTTATGACCTAATTTGCTTGATCTATCTATGTGTGTCTGCTGGCCAATCTGATGCTCATTTGCTTAATTGTTACAGATTTTAAGGAAGTGAATTGCTAATTATCTTAACACGAACATAGGCATGTAATGCAGTTCCACCGCTCACACTGGAATGGGTAATTTTTGAACACCTAATGTATTAATGTGAAACAGAGAAAGGGGGAGCGATGGATGAATGGATGGAGAGAGAGCATTGGAAAGAGCGAGGATCCAGATCCTAATCTCATCTGGATTTATCTTTTCTACTCCCTACAGTGTTGCGTAAGGCCTTAATCCAATGCTGTCAATCAAACTTACACAACTCTATCTTCCTTCTTGATGGCTGTTGCCGTTTACCACTGCAATCAGGCCAAATGACATCTTTTCAAGGCAGGTTTCATTGTTTAAGTACAACAATGAAAGCAACATGTGATTCTGAAATCCACTGAAATAAGACTTTCTGTATATAAACATGGAAAATCTTTGAAGTGTGTCAGAAAGGGTGCCTTTATTATAAGTAATCCAGGTCAAAGTTTATAGTTTTGCTGGTCATGATCTAAAAAAATTAAGGAAGCAATGTTAGATTTATAGAAAAGAAAACATCATTTTGCAATTTCCTATAGCTATATAATAATCCACCTTTATCTTTCAGTGTGTGCGTCTAGATCAGGCGGGGTCATCCTTGGACAGCTGACAGTCTGCAGGATTGCCATTTAAAAACTCTGTCATATCCTACTAATGCTGCTACTGCATATTTTGTTTTTAGTGTGAATACTTAGTGTGCTACATGTATATCAATATTCACATCTTGTGTATATTGTTTTACTTGTAAATTGAAATGCTTGAAACATTTTCTACACTATTAATTAGGCTTTCAGTTTCCTTTAGGAACATACTTTTTGATAATAATAATTACTGAATAATATTTAATTATTTTAATAATTCTTTTGACATTTTATATTGAGCTTCTATTCATCAGATTGTGTTTAAATACTTTGTGACACTTTAAAGCTTTGACTTCCTGTATTAAAAGAATAAGAAAAAACTACATTGTCCTTTTAAAACAAATCGAATAAGGAATATTATATCTGGAATCTTCTGCGACCATCGTCTCAACTGCTCATGACAAAGCAAATCGCAGCTCTCTGCAGAGCTGTCCAGGAAAACGCTGGTGGGATCATCACACAACAAGCTGGGTGTCCTGCGTGAGGCAAACAGGACAGTTTCGCAACAGCAAAGTAACCGTGCATGGATCACGGCTCTGAGCTAAGTGAAAGAAGAGGAGGAGGAAAACGGTCAGCGCAGCACTTCACAAAAGTTGTCAGCAGGAGTCCTCTTTGAGGAGAATCTCACAACAAAAGTTGTTTTCAGTGTGGATTGGTTTTAATTTAAACATAAGGTCCAAACATTTAAATATAGCCTCAGGATAAACTGCAGCCGTTCAGGGGTGTGGCATATTAGGACCCTGAGCACAGGGAAACTCCCGACATTGGCTGTATCCCAATTCAGGGTCTGCAGCCTTAAAGTACGCATTTCAAGGCCGATTACGTCACAGCGGCGCGCCGAAGGCTGTCCCAATTCAAAGGCTGCTCGAAATGCGGCCCTGAAATGCGTCCTTCATTTCCCTGAATTTTAAGGCTGTGGCAGTGTAGACTTCGTGGCCCAACATATCCCAGAATGCATAGCGCGGCGGTGGGTGTGGATAATTTTGCCGAAAAAAAAAACGGCGGATGAGGGGCGGCCGAAGAGTAAACTTTAAGTACTGAATATAATGTCACCTATTTATGTGCAAATGTTTAATAACGAAGAACATTAAAACATTACTGTTGGCCACATGTCGGGAAAGTTATGTGACATTAGTGACGTTTGTACTAACTTGGTTTTAAAGCCTTTACTTTAAAATATACTCCGTTCAATAGCTGAGCTTAATCTTACAGAGAATGATCAAAGCTCATGTAGAAACAAACAAACAAATGAACAAAATATTTTCTCTTTCATTTCTGTCAAACAAAGCTGTATGACACGTTTCCAGCTGTTAGTATCAAGACACGAGGACTAAACCCCAATTCAACCAGACCCAGAACTGATCCAGAATTAAAACAGGACTACAACAGTTCGAAATCAGGACTATTTGGGATTTAACCAAGACAGAACCAGAATCAGAACTAGATGATAGTAGCACTAAAAATCATCATAGACCTGCACTACACTTATTTTTTAATTCTACCAAAGTACACTTAGATTGAGAAAAGTTTATATAATTATTTGGCCTTGTTGTATAAACAAGCCTGCATAACTTAGTAAATATAGAATTTGAAAAATAACAAACCTAAAAAGAAACACTAGGTACGAGATACATGACGACCTATGATACGGTGATATTTTTGGTAAACGACCATTTGACTAACATGTCTGTCTCACCTGCTCTTGTTCCATCTCTGTTCTGTCCTCATTCTCCTCTCTCTCCCTCTTTGTGCTGACAATCATCAAATATACAGTTGAAACCAGATATTTACACACTCTTCAGATCAAAACACAAACACTTTTTTAATTGTAACATCAAATCAGACTAAATGTTTATTTTTTTTAGATTGATAAATATAAAAAACATATCTGTTAACTTTAAGAGTAAAGAGAGAAACTATCTGTATTTCTTAATTGTAAATGGCACCAAATTGTATTCAAACTTGAGCCACACTTATGGAGCTCCACAGTTCTTTTCCTGGTGTTTTGGTTGATATCTCTTGATTTTCCCATTTCAAAGAAACAGGCTCTGTGTTTTGCCTTATATGCATCCACAGCTGTGCCACCAATTTACTCACATGGACTCTACTAACCTATCAGAAGCTTCTTCAGCTCAGAATGGAATCCTCTGGAGTTTTCTTATTAATTAACAATAAACTTAGTGTATATGTACTCCTAAATTTGATGAAAGTGATAAAAATAGACAGCTCTGTCTCTCTTTATTCTGACATTTAACTAATTCAAAATATATTTCAATATTTATCTAAAACAAAAGTTTACTCTAAATTGATGTTGTACAGTAAAAATGTTTTATGTTTTCTCCCTAAAGTGTATGTAAATATCTGGTTACAAATGTGAATATCCTGCTGTGTACTGAAATCCCTCTTGTTTTGCATAGAAATATACTGAACAACATACAAAGCATAATATATAAAATAACATTTACCTGAGTTTTTTCTTTGAAAGAAGCCTCTAATGTCCATTCTTATATTTCAGTACATAACTGAAACTGATTTAGTCGGGGAGGGTAAGAACTGCAAATATGAAATAAACACACATAAGCTAAGACTCTCTAAAAAAATAGCATTTGTTCGCTTTTCATTTCGCCATTTGTTGATTCACTTGAAGAGCAAGTAACGTAATATTGGTCAAGTGATCAGTTTGATATCAATCTTTCGTGATTCACCGTCATATTTACATTATTTGTAAGGTACGAATGATTTGCTTTGGTACCTGGTCAAACTTAAGCTCTCCTTAGTACGCCTGGCTCCGTTTCTCCAACAGCGCACTCACAGGCAGCAGCTGCCCCGCCCCCTTGCTCAGTCCTTAGTGCCTGAGCTCGGATCATACCAATATCAGGGGGGATTCACGCACAGTCGTAAATTCCCACAGTGTGCACTATGTGCTTCGAATATTGTGTGTACTTTTTGTTTTATACAGTTGTCAGCCAGGCATCTAACTATGAAAAAATTACACTCCAAAAGACCCCGGGCTTAAGCCCAGTAAGCCACCCCCACGCTCCGCCCCTGATATAAAGTCCTTGATTTGGACAATCACAAAGCATGTAAAACATGGACATCACTTCCAAATCTCAAAAATGAAGCCAAAGTTCTTCAAAGCATGCAGTCTTTGGCCAACAGAGGGCGACTCCTGTGCTTACAAAAAAAAAGAAAAAAAGACTGAATACAATTTTAGGGGTAAAACAGTCCTTCAGATCCTTTAATCTGTGAGCCTCTTTCCTAACTTCACGGTTTCAGTTGCTAGTTTTGCGTCTTACATAAAATGGCAATGTTTACTTTTAAATCTGCGGTCCCTGTTAGAGCCACCAGGCCCTCTGACCACCACCAGTAGGCAATGGGTGAGGTGTCTTGCCCAAGGACACTACAACCGAGACTGTCCAAGCCGGGGCTCGAACCGGCAACCTTCTGATTACAAGGCGAACTCCCAACTCTTGAGCCACAATTGCCCCCTTTATATAGCTGAAATATATAAACAATGGAATTTCCTTTTTTAGAATAGCAAAAAAAATCTAGATAAGTTCACCCAGTTTACAGTGCAGTGAAAAAGTATTTGCCCTCTTCATGATTTCTTTATTTATTTCATTTTTGTCACACTTGCATGTTTCAGATATAACCTGATTATATACAGCACGCTCTAGTTTTAGAACATGAACTGATGGCCGGACATTCTTCTTTTTTCGCCCAGGTCCTGAAGCAGCAAAGCAGGCCCAGACTAACTCTTGACCACCACCATGTTTGACTTGGTACAATTTTCTTTTTAAGAAATGCTGTGTTAGTTTTATGCCACATGTAACAGTAACTCAAACCTTCCAAAAAGGCAAACCTTTGTCTCGTCAGTGCAAAGAATGTTTTCCCCAAAATCTTGGGAATCACAAAGATGTTTTTGGGCAAATGTGGGTTCTTTCGAGACTTTTTGGAAGAGTTGTTGAAGCGCTTCTTTGGTGACAGTGGCCCCTCCTGGGAAGGTTTACCACAGTTTGAAGTTTTCTCCTTTTGTAGATAATAGCTCTGGAGTCCCAAAGCCTCAGAAATGTCTTTGAAACCTTTCCCAACTGATAGATGTGAATGACATCTTTTTCATGGCACCGTAAATGTTACACATCTGCAATATGACATTGCAAAGTGATGAATTTGATGAGCTAATGCAGATGTTTCCAGGAAGACTTTTTGCCAAAGTAGCTCCAGTGATGTATCGATTCAGGGCAGCAGCTTGGGACACAGACAGATTACTCTGCAGTCGATGGTTGTTCTAAGCCGCAGATTAACAATGGGCTCCTATTCCTCCTGTGTCGGTATGCAGATGTCAACCAGGACTTACTAATGCACAGAGTGTGAGCCATCTGGGAGGGTGAGGAGGGGGATGTAAGATGGAATCACAAGGAAGTCAAGGAGTAAAGATCACAATCACCCATTTTCAACAGTTTAACAGTTCTGTCTTTGTCTCTTATTGTCATAACCTAAAAAGCGGATGAATTCTCTCGTGGGCTGAGGCTATTCCCAGAAGGCGCTGTGGAACAACATTGGACTCCCAGGTGAGCCTGATTGTGTTATCCTCACTGGGATGTCATCCATCTGTGCACAAAAAAATCCTCCTGCCTCCTGACACCTTTAATAATGGTTTGTTTGACTGTTCACTTACAAAGTCTCTGTTCAATGGTTAAAACAGATTTTTGCAACAGGTAGGTGTCTCACAAGTGTGAACAGCAAAATCATTATAAGATCATATATCTGGGTTTCAAACAAGTGTTCCAAATACTGAAAACCGGAAATGAGAACACTCTAATCCACTGTGCTATGATGTGATGCTCTCATTGGTCTGTTGCTCCAAGCCTTCCCAGTGCACACACACACACACACACACACACATACACACAAGCACAACATCCTCTTACTCTCTGTGATGCATTGGTCCCTTTCACTGTTAATCCAGCTGGGTTGTGCCTCCGTGCATTGCTGTACTTTTGCCATCTGATAAATTCCCCACGGACGGTTGGAAAAATCACATTTTAGGCCAGGAATTTTGCACTTTTTGGATTTACGTCAAGTGGGAGCTTCACATCAGAGCCTCTTGCTCGGGGGTGGTACTCGGCTCCACGGGACTTCTGAGCCAAACAATGAAGTCCCATCCAGGTAGCTCGACGGTGCTGCTGCCCATCGCCCTCTGCCTCAGTAAGGAACTTGCCGTACTCTCCAGTTGTAGTGTGACCGTGTTGTACGTGTTTGTGTGCAATCCAGTCTTGTGGGAAAACTTTGTAAGTGTTGAGTGTGCTCTTCACTGCCCCAATTTTGTCCTGCGTCTGTATACGGATATACAATTTCTTTGCACTTTCAGGTTTGTCAGAAAAGGTCCAGAGAAGTTAAGATGGCTTATAAGGGATGTTCCCTTCAGCTTATTCTGATATTAACGAGAAAGGTTTTACAAATGCGCTTACCTTAATGAAATGCTCCCCAGGCTGTTTGTGTGTTTGTGTGTGTGCATGCAGAAAGGTGTACAACATTGTGTATTTGAGTGTGAACACCAATGGAATGAAACTAAGTAGATTTAGCTGAGGACAAATTGGAGCCTTCTTTTCATACCACGTTATATTTATGCTACAACACATATTAAATTTGATCTAACCTTTACTTTACTGTAATATCTTTCAGATTAAAATCTTTTTTCCAAGCACACATTGATTTAAAAAAAAAGGAAACAATAAAATAGAATAAAATAGATACCCAGTGCAATGCAGGATATCAATTACACTCTTTGGTTACAGAATCTTTCTCCCAGGGAAACAAAACCATTTATCTTAGAGATAAAGATTAGATTCAATTTTTTTTATTTGCCATTTGTACACATACACTAAGTCTGGGTAAACAGGAAACCATGTGCAGAGTTTCGAGTCAGGGTTAAATAAATTGTCTTCAGAGCAGACTTTAAAAAGTCAGAAGTTTTTTACTTTGCTACATTTATTAAATTAGTATTAATGTTATTCAGTATTTGAATTATGTAGATTTGAGCATATATAACATAGAGAACACACAAAATATTTTTTTTTTTTATCACAAATCAAACTACTCAGAAGTTCATAAAGGTACAGCTGAAATGATTAACTGATTAACCACTTTTTCATTTTGTGCTCAATTTTTCTGCTACTTTTATTTTTGTTCAGAGTATCTGTGGCTGGATTTCTCGCAAATTTTTAAAAAAGGGTAAATAAGTTGATGCAGAAGAAAATAATCAGTTTCAGAAGAAGCTCAGGCACCCTGTAAGATGCTTGTGGTAATATTTATTATTGTATAAGTTATATTAAATATATTTATTATATATTATTTTATATTTTATGTTATTATCTTTATATAAGGTTTTTTATTAATAGTAAATAATGCAAATTCTGCTTCCACCTTGGCTGTTGCCGTGAACACGACCTTTATCCTTTTGCATATAAAAGTCACAACATCATCATTTTATCTCCATTTGTCATTTGTGTGAAATTCTGTCTTATTCGGAGCTAGTGAGTTATCACAAAGCAACATATTTATTGAGGTCACAATGTCTTTGACCTTTGAGTGCAGAAACGTAATCAGTTCATCCTCGAGTTCAACTGAACATTTGTGGAAAACACGAAGAAAATCCCTGGAGACATTGTGCTGATGAGAACACTTTCCAACAACCTGGAACCATAATGCAATTAGCTGTGACTTGCAGTGGTGGTGAAGCGTGCAACCGCATTTTATGAATGAAGCTCATTTGTGGAAAAATCTACCAAGTTACATGGAAATTTCGCAACAGGAATTCATTACATTTCTGCAGAGACAGCTATTAAAAAAACATCTGCAAAGAAAGAACACAGAGAAGCAAAAGCAAAACATCAGGGGTTTAATGATGCAGCTAATAACGTGCACTGGCATTAGGCAGAAACAAGGTCGTCTTAGACTGATTGAATCACAAAAGTTCCAAGTGGCGTGTGGAGAAAAGGCAAAAATGTCCTAGATGTCACCAATTTCTGAGCTAATTTTTCAGACAAGCGGTTTGTTTTTGCAATGCATATTTAACTTTTGTTTTATATCCTCTGGTCAAATGTATACAGACAGCCAGATCTCCTTTAGGATTGCTGTTTAAGCTCTGTTCTTTAATTCAAATATCAATGCTTCAATATTCAGTGATATATAAAATAAGATCAGTGTTTTTTACACCCCGTGTAAGCAGCTTGTCCAGAGCCAACAGTAGTTCTGAACCACAAAGGCAGAAATTAGACAAACTGCACTCAGTCACATCCAGTACATTAGAAAGAGAGCATCCAAATTTCTGTGTAAAGCCTGGAGCCAGAAAAATGAAGGCTGGTTTAGCATCAGATTGATGTTTATGGTTTTAGGGCTGACCCTGGAACAGCTCATCAGGTCTGCTGGCAAACGAATGTGTTCGAGGCCAACGACAAACTGAAAGCGATCTTGCAGTACAGATTTACTCCCAAATCAGTGCTCCAGTCAGACCTTGTGTCTCAGCTTTTCAGGAAGGTTTCAGTGAAAACTCAAACTACATAAGGACATGTTTTATATGACATGTTATATGTGGACTGACCGATGCAACCATACAGCTTATACATGGCTTTATAGTGCTACATGGAATTTGGCTCTGAGGGTGTATAATCCCTCCAGATGAATGGAATACAACATATTTCTGTATCTGTTTGATCCATCTAAGAACCTGATGGATCACAACTATGAACATACAAACATTGTATTCAAATCCTCAACAATCTAGTGGTTTTATTTTTCTCCCATCATAACCTTTTAGTTTAGTAACACTGTATTTATAGTCTCCTCATGTATGCATTCATTTCTTCTGCACTGAAAAAAGGAGTGTTTTATATGTCTTTAGTGCTCAACTGTGAGAAAGAGCATCGACCTTCTTTAGATAAAATGATCTTTTTGTAGTGTTCAAATATGCTTGTGCCTTGTCTTTCCCTCTCCACCAGGCTTGGTCCCCGTGTGTCTCAGCGCTGCAATCCCTGTTTCATGTGGTTCCATCTACAAGCGCTTTGCTCAGTGTTTACTCACACTCGGGGACAGTTTAGTGGACACACAAAAAGAGCAGAGCACACAGGACATCGATGCCATCTGCAGGTGTGTGTTTGTGTGTGTCAGTCTGTCATTTTTTTAATGTTATGTTAATGAGACTTGAAACTAGTGACTGAAACCACACAGCCTTTGGGAAAGTGTTCACTGAGGTCACAGATCAAGAGCTGAAGGGCTGTGTTTCTTTGTCCTTTCAAAATATTTTTTGGACTCACCTGTTTTTAATGCACACCAAACATATTATCGCTGGATGAATTTATGAATCAAATTTAGTTTTTCAGTTCCAGATAAACAGATCTGACCAATCAGGCCACTGCATCTGGCAACCAGTGAGCTTGTAGGTTAAAATGCGAGTGATCTGGAATTGGTAAGATAATTCTGGTTTACCTCAGACACACTGCTAGTTGCTGCTCTGGGTCAACTGGATCTCTGCATCCTCAGAAGTTGTTACAAGTCTTCCAACAACAGCTCAAACTGCCTCATTGACATCCTTAAATATGTATGAAAGCATCCTTGTCATGAGAATCGGATGAATCTCATTTTCTTATGATTTTTGTTTAGAAAGATCAGGGCCAGCTCATCAGTGCTTGATATACTCAGTTGCTTAGTGGTGCATTTTTGAGGTAAAAAGCTTCACAAAAATATATTTACAGTGTGTACACGTCACACAAACCTGCTTCAGAAAGACGGTGCATGGGGATCTGCCAGGCCCGGGAGCCATCGCCAGTCCCCTTCGAGGCCTTCCCCAAACCGCAGCTCAGTTCATGTCCAAGCCTTCACCTTTATCTACTAAAAACACTGTCAAACCTAAAATGAGGACGTGGGCCCAGCGAGTGAAATAGTTTTGTTTTTTTTTAACAATGCGCTGTGTGCAAAGGCCTTAAGAATAAAATATGAAGCTGGAAGTAAACATAATAGGTCTCCTTCGAATTACCAGAAAATGAGCTGTCTTAAGTCTGTGACCCAAAAGTGATGTCAGAGGGTCCTGCAGGACACCAGAGAAGTGATAAACCACAGGAAGTCTGCTATTTATCAGCGCTGTAGTAATCTCATTACTTTAACATACTGGGTTATTATTGTGTTGGAGATGCTAACCTCTCTTCCTGTCCTGGTTCTTTCAAGGTCCTGGAATGCATTTCACGTTTGTGCCAACTCAGCTCTGGCCGGCTGTCCTGGAGAAGCAGCAGCTGTTTGGGAGTCTCTAAGACAAGAGTCCAGGAAGACAGAGTTTTCTGGAAACCTCTACAACATGTGCGCCAGCCGCACAACGCTCCCACCCAGCACCGTGCCTGCAGCTCAGAGCCCCCCCACGTCCGACCAGACAAACCAGGAAACACTGAAAGGGCAAACACACAAGCACAGCCCCACGCTCTTCACTGTACTGCTCCCTGCGTGCAGCATGCTGCTAGTTCTGCTCAGGAGTTAGTTAACCCATATTAACCCTTCGGTCAGAGTGATGCCAGCAGGCCGTCACAGTCCTGCTGCCCCTACAATCCAAACAAACAAGGGCACACAATCCATACAAGTCACTTTCATCATAATCCTTAAATAAGGATTGCTATAACTGGATCAGTTTGAAATGTTTGGTTCAGGACACTAATACAGCATTGACGCATTGAAAAAAATTGAAGACCTGTCTTCTGTCAGACAGAAGCCTCTTACATGAAGTCCACCAAGTTTTCAATCACTGCAAGAGTTTACAGTTTTTTCTGAATGCTTAAACCCTAACTGTGATTCCTGTAGCACAATCTCTAAAACTATTCAGACTTACAGCAAAACCACTCACTGAGTTTGCAAAACTAAAAGCACAAAAACTGCTTTGCACTCAGTTTGCAATTTTGTAACACACACTTTGCAAAACTGTGGGCACAATTAACTACACAACACTCAATTACCAAATTTCCAACACACTCCTAGCAATAGTAAAAGTATACACATGTATGGCTATCATTAACACTAATTTGCCAACTGTCTGGCACACTTTCACATGTGAAAACTTTTTTAGATAATTAGTTCACTTTGCAATCAGCCTAAGCACTATAATACAGGTAAGCTGTGTGTGCGGAGTACAATGGAGGGAGCAGAAAGAGTGAGAAGTAAAGGAGGCCGAGGAAGAGGACGTGGAGGTGAAGAAGTAGGATGAAGAGGACGACAAGGACAAGGAGGAGCAA